GGCAAGCAGTACATAGTGTGTGGCCGCAGCGGGCGCGCGCCGTGCCGGGTAAGCGGCGGGGCGCGCGGGCCCCAAGGTTGAAGGGTCGGTAGCAGATGTTGCAGTCCAGCTCACCCCGCTCGGGAAGAGAAGGCACCCTCATCAGGAGCTGCATCGTGGCCGCTGTGACCCAACGACGTCGATCCCGCGGTGGCTGAGAGACAGAAGAAGCGGCCCTCCTTGGGCCTGGGCTGGGCCTGGGGCCGGCGCCGCCGCCTCTGTCCCCTTTTAATAGTGAGGCCCCACCCTCGAGGTGTCACGCACAGATCAGCCGCTCCCTTCCGTGGCACGCGTCGGGGGCGGTGGAGGCGTGTGGCTGGGAATGCGAGTGGGGACACAGCGGGGTGAATGTCCACAAGATGCCACAACTGCCCAGGGGAACGGGGGGGCGGGGGACACGCTCCACCCACTGCCCCCTTGGCAAACTTCTCACCCACAGCAAAACACCAGTGCCATCGTTAAAGTGGAGCAGATCCTCAGGTTCCCTCTTGCACACCATCTCAAGGGCCTTCGTAGCCCATCTGTCATGTGCTCATACTCTTTCTCAACCCCCCACAAACAGGCTACATATTCCAGGTTTACTGTTGGTTCTGCCCAGTTTTAATTGGTTCCCTGGATGTTTGGATACTGCCCAGTCATAATTGATGCTGCTCTCACCTCTCCTTTTTATACATGACCTCTTGGGTTCTCCTAAGGCTCCCTAAATTTCATCCTCCCTCAGAGAGTTCGATTCCAGCTAACATCTCAGCCTAGGGAGGGACTTAGATTCCAGGAGCATGGCCTTAGGAATGCTGGGAATCTTTTCCTTCCAGAGTATCCAGGCTTGGACACCCACACAGGATGATGGTTGAAGCAAAGCAGCCCTGCATGACTTCTGACTCAGGGGTCTGACTTCTAGCACAGGTAAACAGGACATGGTGCTCACAACCCACATTCCCTCCCCGTGTTAGCACCCACACCCTCCTCATCTTCTCCTGCACTTGGAGCCCAGGTTCTGTTGCGGAGGATAATAATACAGTCTTGACACAGCTGGCTCGAGTACAGATCCTAGTGGTGACATCACAGGCAAGTTACTTAACTTCTCTGGGCCTTGATTTCCTCATCTACAAAATCTAGATAATAATAGTAAGGCTCGAAAGAGCTTGTGTTTGGAAGGTGTTTAAAATGACACCTGAGACACTGCAAACACCAGACAAGCAACAGCAGTTACTGTCCTGATCATCCTTGGCTCCAAGCCTGCTTTGTCTTCACTGAACTTCTCAGATACCCAGTATTTCACATACACCATCTCTTGGTTAATCCGAGATGGGTTTTTCTGTCTGCATAGCATTTTCTGGTTCATCACAGGTAAGGTAACACTTGTTTTGTTTTGTAAGGTTAACCCTAGAGGATAATCTTTATTTTGTTTTGTTTTTGAGACTTAGACGTCTAACTATGAAGCCCTAGGCTGGTCTGCAGCTCTGTGTGTAGTTCTGGATGACTTCAAACTCACAAGAGATCTGGCGGCCTCAGCCTCCCGAGTGCTGGGATTAAAGGCGTTCATAACTGTGCCTAGCAAAGTAATCTTTTATCCGGTCTAATTGGGAATTCACTGTGTGTAGTTTAGGCTGGTCTCAGACTCATCGCAGTCGTCCTACCTCAGCTTCCAGGACCTTTAATCCCAGGAAAGGGTTAGTTAGGCTTGGCATGGTGGCACACACTTTTAACCCTAGCACTCTGAGGCAGAAGCAGGCAGATCTCTGAGTCCGAGGCCAGCCTGGTCTACAAAATGAGTTCCAGGACAGCCAGGGCCGCTACACAGAGTAACCCTATTTTAAAAAACCAAAAATAAATAAATAAACAAATAGTAAAATATCTTTAGGGGGCTGGCAAGGTGACTCAGAGCTTAAGAACACCTGCTGCTCTTCCAGAGGACCTAAGTTCAGTTCCAAGCACCTATATATTGGGCAGTTCACAATTGTCTGTAACCCTAGTTTCAGATCTGAATCCTTTCTAGAGTCCACAGGCACCTGCACGCACCTGGAATACATACACACACATGTACACATACATATAAAACAAACTTCAAATGATGGTAAATTGTAATCTGAGTGCTTGTATGTATGTCGATGTAAAGAATGTGTGTATTTTTGTGTGTAATTCATGCTGTGGCACATGTTTGAAGATCAGAGGATGACCTCAGGTTTCCTCACATTCACCTTGTTTGGCTTTTCCTGTTGTTGGTAATGGGTGTGTTCGTTCTGGAGGTGGAGTCTTACTGTGTAGCCCTGACTGACCTGGAACTCTGTAGACCAAGCTGGCCTCAAACTCAAAGAAAGGGGGAGTTGGAGAAGTGGGAGGGAAATGGGAGGTGGGGAGGAGGTGGAAATTTTTAATAAATAAATAAATTAAAAAACACTCAAAGAGATCGGTCTGCCTCATAGTGCTAGGATTAAAAGTGTGTGCCACCATGCTCAGCCTAACTAACCCTTTACCTTGCTAAAGACAGAATTTCACAGATTTGTATGCCAAGATAGCTGGCCCACAAGCTTCTGGGATTCTAAGGCTTCTCCTGTATCCACTTCCCACCCACTGTGGTGGAAATGTGATTATAGACACTTGCATCATTATGCTCAGTTTATGTGAGGTCTGTGGATGTGCACGTAGGTTCCCACACTTGCCTTTTAGCGCCTGACCCAGCGAGTCATCTCCCCAACCCAAATCTTAATCATCGAAGGTAGAATAAAAGGAGTCTGGAGTGTCTCACCGCCAAGGGTCCCTCTAAGCCATGATTTATAGTATCCTGTCACCTGCTCCACAGAGAATCCAAACTGATGATCTCCCATTTCTAGGCCAGACTGTCTTCCAGTTTTTCCTTCCTTTTCTTGGTTAGCTCATAACCCTGGGTATTATTCCTATTTTCTCCTTCTCTTCACCTTCCTTTATTATCCAAAGTCATTTATCCCTTTAATAGCCAATCCACCTACTCATCCCCACCCTTGCTCATCCTCCTGGTCCAGGCTGTTGTCATCTCTCGCCTCTCTATCCAATTAACACAAACACACAGGTCTTCTGCGGGCCTCCCCTCCATGTTATTTACAGAGAACTCTCCAATCTCAAACCAGTCACATTCTGCCTAACGCTGCTTCTGCTCCCGTTTAAAATCTTTTAAGGTAGTGAGTGTTGAATGGCATGCAGATCCTTTGCCACCGCCATCATCAGTCAGGGCCTAGTCTAGGCCTGGTGGTACATAACTGTAATCCCAGCACCGAGGAGGCCGAGACAGTTTGTGAGTTTGAGGACAACCTGGACTACAAAGACTGTTTCCAAACAAAAGCAACCTACTTCCTATCTCTGTAGTGGAGGATGGCTTTGTGACCAGCACGAGGCAGAAATTGTGCGTGTGTTCTGGAGCCTAGTCTTCCACAGCACTGCACCTTCTGTCTGCTGGAAGGCTGCCCTCAAACCACCATAGAAGGCAGTAGGGTTAGACCTAAGCACTGGAGGTGAGACCCTGTGGAGGGAAATGGATGCACTCCAGGCAATGGCTAGTGCTCATTGCCTGACAAGCTAGTGAAGCCATCTGGAATATTCCTGCTTAGTTAGCCTGCTTAGCAAATACAGCCACATGAAAGAGGCCAAGTGAAACAGCAGAGGGACTCCCAATCAGCCCACGGAATCATGAAAAAATGTGTAAGTTGGTTATGCATTTGTTTTTAATTATTTTTAATTCCCCTCCCTGTGTGTGTGTGTGTGTGTGTGTTCATGCAGGAGCCTGCTGAGACAAAAGAGGGTGTAAGATGCTACCCCGGGGCTAGAGTTTTGGGGGTGTGACACCTGAGGAGCCACAGAAGGACATGGGTCCTCTGCAAGAGCACCGTGCACCTTAACTGTTCAGTCATCGCTTCAGCTCTCCTCACCTCACCTCAAATTCACTTTTAAAAGTTGTTTCAAGTCACTAGAGTTTGGGATGATTTGTGTGTTTATCAACAAGTAATCAAAACAGATACTACCCAGAAGGCCTTCTGTGCCCTGACCTCAGTATGCCCCACATTTTACTTGTTTTCTCTTTGGACACTCGGACTTCAGAGACTGTTGGATTCTGTTATGGTTTGGATGCAAAGCCATGTATCGAGGCTTGCCTCCCAGGTGATGGTACATTGGAGAGGGGTGTGGCCTTGAAAGGGATATTGAGAACTCAGCCCCCTGCTCTCTGCTTCCCAGGTGGCATAAAGTGAGCATCTTATCCGCCATGATGGTCTGCCACAACCTTAAAAGCAAGTGTGCCGAGCAACTGTGCTGCAAACAACCCCTAAATTGGAATAAACCTTCCCTTTTTGTTTGTTTACCTCAGGAATTTTGTCTCAGCAACAGAAAGATGTCTGATACAGCGTGCATGTTCCCTTCTGCTAGGACCCTCACTCCTCTCATTCTTGCTGTCAACACCTCCTCCATCTGCTCTCCAGGCAGCCTCCCATGTCACATACCCACTCCAGATGCTGCTAACCCCATGTGCTTCCCTCTGGACATTGGGCAGCAGCAGTTTGCACCGGAGCAGTGACCACGTGATTGTTTCTCTCAGCAGCAAACTCCACAAAGGCAGCTCTATATCCCCATGCCCTCCACGAAGGACTGATAGTCATGAAAGCAGCTCCATGCCCCTGGGCCCACCACAGGAGGACTGGTGCCCAGGAAGGCAGCTCCGTGTCCCTGTGCCCACCACAGGAGGACTGATGCCCAGAATACTCATTGAATTTATCAATAAGGTGGTTGAGAAATATAGCAAATGTTTACAAACAAGGATGTGTGACAATAAAGGTTCTGTTTACAAGGGACTTCTAAACTGCCTCGAGGTAATTCTAAGAGGAGGTTTTAAAATGTGTGGAACAGAAGAAGGAAAAGTAAAGAAGAAACAAAACCTTTGAGCACTAGGGAGGCAGCACCAGGAGGAGCGCACTGCTCTCTGCGGGAACTATTTAAGGAGAATACTGCTCTGAATTGATAAATTCTTGTATGTTTGTCACAGAAGAACTAATCATAGCTTAGTCATACACTTCTCCTTGGTTCCTGCAGTCTTCCAGAATGAGTGGGAGACTAAAGGGGAGGCTGTAAGTGCTCATTAGTGGATCCTGATGGTTGCTAATCCAGTCAGTAAAGGCAGGCTGCTCAGTCTCTGGGAAATCAGTTCCATTCTGCAATCCCAGCTTAGAATGGAGGCAGGAGGAGCAGGGAAGGGAACCGCTGAGGTTATATTTAAGGTGGCAGAAGTCATCTCCTTTGCCCTTGTGATCCCTGCAGGTTATGACTTTCCGCCCACTTCCCTTTCTCTGAGAAATCAGTCCGTAGAGGAAGGAGATAGGGGTGTCACTGGACTCGTTTCTGCTGCCTTCCCACGGGACCTTTCTCTGCTTTCCCTTGCAAGTTCTGACTCCTTCCCTCTCTCTTTCCCTCTTTTCTTACCCCATCACATCTCAAAACCACACCCCCTGGGACCTTTCCCATCCAGCCACAACAAAACTGCTTCACTTCTGCACACCTGAAGATGCAAGATGAAGGAAAGGAATCCTGCAAGACCGGAAGTGTGTGAGTGTGTGTGTGTGTGTGTGTGTGTGTGTGTGCAAAAGCAGTGGTTGCTTTTGCAAATGACCTGAACTTGGTTACCAGCATCTACAAGTGCCTCACAGTCATCTATAACTTAAGTTTCAGGGGATCTGACATCCTCTCTGTTCTCTTTAGGCACAGGCACACATATTGTGTACAGATACAAATGAAAGTAAAATGCTCATACACATAAAACCTCTAAAAAAAATAAAAATTCCAGTACTTGAGAGGTAGAGGCAGGTGGATCTCTGTGAGTTCGAGGCCAGCCTGGTCTACAGAGCTAGTTCCAGGACAGTCACGACTATTACACAGAGAAACCCTGTCTCATAAAACCAGAAAATGAGTAAAAATTAAAAAAAAAAAAACAAGATGAGGTGGAGGCGGTGGTGGAGAGGTGGCTATTCTTGCAGAGGACCTGGGTTCAGTTCCCAGCACCTACAGAGCAGCTTGCAACTCTAACTCTGGTCCCTGGGGATCCAAGGCCTCTTCTGGCCTCTGTGACCATGAGGATGCAAGCGGTGCATAAACTATACACGCAGGCAAAACACCCACATACATAGAATAAAAACTGAAGGGTGGGCAGGCCAAGGAGATGACTAAACAGGTCAGGACTGCTGCCACCAATGGCAACCCTAGAACTCACACAGTGGAGGGAGAGAACCAAACGTTGTCCTCTGACCTCCACAAGAGCACTGTGTGTCCACACACACACACACACACACACACACACACACACCTTTAATCCCAGCACTCAGGAGGCAGAGGCAGGTGGATCTCCATGAGTTTGAGGCCAGCCTGGTCTACAGAGCAAGTTCTAGGACAGACAAGGCAACACAGAAAAAAAAAAAAAAAAAAAAAAAAAAAAAAAAAAAAAGGTAAAGAAAGGCGAAATGTGTTATCAAGCTACATCCTTCATTAGGAAGAAAAGAAGGTACATCACTGCATCACTAGGTTCTAAAGAAGGGGAAAGGGCTTAGATCATCCAAGAGAACCATAACCAGGTGGCTGATGCCTGAGCCACTCACATGAGTGGAGAGGAAACCAGCCTTGAGAGCCTTCTAACAAAGGAGTAAGAAGAAAGGTTACCTGAGCCGCCGGGGTCCCTAAAGCCCCATCCTCAGCCCCCACAATCTGAGACACAGTGAGGATCAAGCTGAGACTTTATTTACAGTTCCCTGGGAAGTCTTACAGCAGAGAGGCCGTCTTTATTGCTTTAGGTTTATTGCCAGGAAGAAGCCTGTAGTCCTCTAAATCCAGTTCAAGCCCAGGTTTGCCCCCAGACCTTTACAACCACACGTTTCTACATCCCCCTAATCACTTTGTTTTCTAAGTGCCATTTCTGCGATACAGCCATCAAATTTCTCTCTGCCTTTGGCAACATTGTTTTCCACACCTTTATCCCCTCTCTGCAAGCACAAAGTGTGACCCTAGTTCTAGATTTAAGTCCTCCACCTCCAGGCAGGAGACAGGATTCTGGTTTTCCCAAAGATTATCATTTACTTTCTGCCAGGACCAGCCCGGCTTCTATTGAACAAATACTACTAAGTATGGCCCGTTTCTCGTTCCAGTTAGCACAATAACTCACTAGGTTCTTGCCACCTTGATGACATTTCAAGGCCCATTTTTGAGGTACTCTCAATGTTTCTTTTTTCTGCTGAACGTTTTTTGGGTTTCGGCAATAGGGAAAAGAAACGAGCGAGACCAAATGGCTGAGAGAAGACAGCTCATGCCCGGGATTAGTGAGAAGGCCTAGCCCTAGACACACAGCAGAGGCGTAGAGGGTGGGTGGGAGATCTACTTTCTCTCTCAAGCCCCAAGGCGAAAGGATATGGCTTTGTTCATGCGAATCGCTACTCGAAGCCGGGACTCGTTGGTGGGCGGGGCTACTCTGATTTTGCCGCTGCGTGGGAGCAGGGTTGGGGGCTGGGAGGAGAGATCCGGCACTAGAGGGCCCCGTTGCTGGAAAGTGGTTTTTCGGCAGGTGCAATCACTCCGCGTTGGGTCCCCGCGCCCCCAAAGAACTATTTCTTGGAATGCGACTTGTTCCCCAAGAGCGCATCTATTTCCATCACGGTTTGCGGCGTCAGCTGACTCAGCACCTTGAGAATGGGCAGTGGAGAGGACAGTTTTTGCTGGGACACTGAGGAAGGCCACAGTGGGACCCAATGAGAAAGTTTTCAGCGGTTTGGCCCTGTCTTCCTGGACTTTGCAGGGACAGCTTTGGAATCACTTCCGTCCATTCAGGGATAGACAGTATGGCCTTGACTCTCAGGTAAGGGGAGTCTCAATTGCCAACTCACCTGTAGGGAACCCAGATGTTCCATCAGCTGCTCTGCACTGGACACCCCCAGTAAGACTGAGCTGACACCCTCACTTCGGAGACACCAGGCTGGAACCAGAGGAGGAAAAAGAAAAGGAACTGATGTGGATCAGTGTGGGCACTCGGAGTCCAGAAGTGTTTGAAGAGGGTCCTGTCCGGGCCACACTCATCTAGAGAAAGGTGTAGGAAGTCTCACAGGGAGGCAGGCCCCTGCAGGGTCTCACCTATCGCAAGTTGGGCCACAGTGCAGTCTAACTGGTGAGCGATGGGGAGAAGGTCCATGACTCTGGCTTGTTGCTTCTTGCCATCCTCACTCTGCACTTTTTCCTTGAGCCACTGGTACCCCTGGAGACCAAGGAGAATCAGTCAAGGCCCGACTCCCTCCTTGACCACACAGCAGCCTAGACAGCCCAGACCTGCCTCCCTGAGCCACCAAAACTCACCTTGACAGTGGTCTTGCAAGTATCTGGAACTCGCCCATCATACTTGCTAGTAATGAGGCCACACGCCAGGGGAGACCAAGTAACCGAGCCAACACCTAAGAGCAAGAGGATTTGGTGTGGGACGGGGACCTATGTCATGGGTGAGACGGGAAAGGCGGGGATGAGGGTCTGCACACCGATCTTGTGGTAGAGCTCAGGCAGCTGCATCTCCACCTTCTCCCTCTGAAAGAAGTGGTTGTCCGCTTGCTCGCACACAGGCGGGATCAGGTTGAACTGTCTGGCCATGGAATAGGCCTCCTGGGTTGGTGTGGAAAGGAGAGAGGGTCAGAGCAACCCTTCCACTGTCTTACTTCTCAGCCCAGTGAGGTTTGGACTGGTCACGAGAAAAGGGAAGCTGGGGTGGGGTGGGGAGTCAGAGTTACATACCATGATCTCTGCAGCGCTCCATCTGGATGTCCCCCAGTATAGGGCCAGGCCCTGGTTGATGACATAGGTCATGGCTCTCACGATTTCTAGGTGCACAGGAGAGAAATGGCCTCGATGTCTGATGCATGGAACCCTAGACTCTGTCCACCCCACCAAGCCCCGGGCAGGTCTGTAGTCATATCTGTTCTTCACCTCCTTCCTTGTATAGGTCCTAGGGTCTGAGCCTCTGCTATGGAGATTGGGGGACTTTTGAGTGGGGGAGGCTGGCTTCCCGATGCCAGTTTGAGAAAGTGCCCAGTTTTGAAGGGCTGTCAGGTTTAGGGATTCCGGTTTTACCCTCCATAGGACTGTTAGGGTCTGAACGATTGGCGAAGACTATGTCAACATATTCCAGCTGAAGGCGGTCCAGGGATCCTTGCAAGCCTAGAAGTTGGGGGGGAAGGAGAGGAAGGTAAATATCTCCCCTTCAATTTGCTAAGAATTCAGACCATACCTCCTGGTCATGGTTAACTTAATCTTCTACTTAAGACTTCAGAAACAGTCCTAGCTCCTCTGGCTTCCATGCCCACCCACCTTGGCTTGCCAGCCACCAATCCTCACCTTCAATGATGTGTTTGCGACTCAAGCCTCGCTCAGTTTCTGCCCTGTAGGAAAAGGTTACTGTCAAGGATGAGGTTTATCTGGAGCTATGAGAAACTGGGATGGCATGAATCCTCATGGGCAGAATGGGGGGGGGCAAGGGATGACATGGGAGAACAACCCCTACTCCTATCCCATATACCACATATTCTTTGTAAGTCTTCTCCCCAGTTACTTACTGTCCTCCCCAAAAGATCTTAGTCGTGATAACATAGCTTGATCTCCTAGAGAAGACAGAACAAGAGTGCCAGCAGGAATACTTGGTTGATCATGTCTCCAGTAACCCACAAAACCAGTCTCACCTCCAGCCTTTGCTCTTGAGGATGTTCCCTAGGGTTCTTTCAGCCCTGGAACAAAGACAAGGTAAGGACACTGATCTCTGCAGGACAGACTGACTCCTTCCCCTTCTCCCAGCTTGTCCCCTCTATTAGAGAGAAAGGGGAGCAGGGAAACGGGAGCCAATTTGGAGTCTCAGATTTGTCTTGGACAAAGGAAAGGGGCTTCTGAGCTAGCAGTGTAGCCATATAATTTTTTATTCATTCATCCATGTTGTCTATCAGCTGTGGACCAATTCCTATTGTGGGTGCTTAAGGGGTAGACTAGAATGGGGCGAGAGAAATAGACTTGAGTCAGGGAGGACACTGCCTTTTCTGGTTCCAGTCATCTGGGCCGTTCTCTCCTTCTTCTGCCTCTGTAAAATACCAGGTGTCCTCCTAAGTTCAGTTCTGATTCTGCCAATGAATGCCAGGCTATGGTGAATCCTTCTCACCAGCTTCCATATCTTCTTCCCTCCCACTTTGGGAAAGAGGGTCTCAGTTTGTAGCCCATGTTGGCCTCAGATTCTCAACCCTCTTCCCCTAGCCAGCCCATGTTGGAACTGCAGGTGTGTGCCATCATGGCCAGCTGACACAGTTCCCGTTAGCACACAATTACGGGCCAACTTGTGACAAGTCTTAAAGTACTGAAACACTCTACAGCGTTGGAGCTCTCGCGTGCTCCTTGTTTATCTAATCACTTAGGCTGAATCCTTTTTAAGGTTATGTTGACCTCTTCCCTGAAACTGTGAGTGCTTTTGTGATGGCCTCTCTGGAGAGTCTTGGGAAGATGGGTTCTGTGGAGGTGGAAGCCTCTGAATTGAGCAGCAAATGTTGTATAAAGCCGTCGTTCGCTTTATGTCAGAAGGTAGTATAGTGTGTCCTGGTTGCTCACAGAAGGTTATGACTCTGGGCAGCTGGGGAAATGCTTCTCAGAGGATTTGACATTTGAGTTAAATCTTGAAGAAGAATGTTTCTCAAATAAAGAGGCAGAGTAGGCCACCCTGGATTCTGGCTACTCCCAAAGTCAAGTCATAGGCGTGATGTGATGCGGTGTGTTTGAAAATATAGCTTTGTTGAGAGGAAAGTGTTGTGAGAACTACGAACTACAACTCCCATAATACATGGGGGTGTTATGAACCTGAAAGTTGAACTTTAGTGTTTCCAGAATTCCCTGTTTTGTTTTGTTTTGTTTTTTAAGAGGGAAACAAGAATCCCTGATGTTCTCTCAGCCTGCCTTCCAACTCTAACTTGACTCTTTCACCCTGGTTCTTACTTTCCTGCTGCGTACACTTCAGCAGTGTCAAACAGGTTTACACCGTGTTCATAGGCTGCCGTCAGCACATCTTCTGCTGTCTAGGGAGGCGAGAAAACATCGGCAATGAACGGCTGCCCCCAGTTACTTCCCTCCCTGCACCCTAACCCAGCACCTCAGTCCTGGTTCCCCCACTTTCTCTCCTTTGCCCATCCTCCAGACTCACATCTCATACGCTCCCAAGCTTGTCCAAACCCTAACCAGATCCACTGCTTCCTCTTCTTACCCCCTCTCCACAACCACCTCTACCCATCACTTATACCTCATCTGAGATCTGAGAGCCAAATGTGACCCAGGTACCTGCAAGACAGAAGTCGGACACATGAGAACTGCGGGAGTCGGACTATAAAACAGTGCCCCTTTTCTTTAATGTCTCTCCTAACTCACCAAGGCCAAGACAGGACACCCGGAGACCAGACTTTCCTAGGTTCCTGCAGGATACAGAAGCAGCGGGGAAGGGGTGAAGCCTCCACTGGGGACTTGGATTATCAGTCCCCAGCTCCTGTCCTTCCGAACTGAGAAGCCCTCAAGGGTCCCAGTCCAAAGACAGCAGACCCAGTGAGCTGATGGGACAGGCAGTGCTACCCCCATAGCAGAGGCCCTAGGGTATTATTGAAAGAACAGGTGAACCAATAGTGTGATCGATTGTAACTCGAGGGCCACTGTCTGGCACCTCCATTCCTATCGTCTGTTCCTTCTGGGTGAAGTCCTGTCTGTGTCTGAGCCATCTCTGGGATGTGTGGAGCAGTAGACTTTGAAAAATGGGGCTGATTGTGGTGAGTTTGAGAATAGGCCCTCCGTCAAAGAATGCCACTCTAAAGGGCGACAACAGAAAGATGTACACCAGCTCCAGTTCAGGCACTTGACTAGGCACGTAGATGAGCTCAGCCCCAGAAAGAGCAGATGTGGGTGGGGACTGGGGAGGACTTGATGGGAAAGTCTCTTCCTCTCGTCATTGACTTCTGAGGCTTGAACTAGAAATCCTCCTCTTCTCCAGGCACAGATCAAACAGTCACCTTTACTTCCTAATCAGGGATGCTACAGGGAGGGCTGAATACTTTTGGGACAAAGGCAGGTCACATCAAAGACCTCAGCATATTCCCAAGAAATGCCCCCCCCACCCCATTTTGAGTTCTGAGAGTCTCTGGCCAGCAGTCCCCCGAGCCCTTCTAACCCAACTCCTGCCTTACAGCACGGGATGAAAGATGTGGTCTATCTCCCTTCCCCTCTCCTGCTCTGACCTCACCCTAGAAAGGTTGAGGGAGACAGGCCTCAGGGCTGGTGGGGGCAATATCTGGGTCAGGCGCCCCAACTGGCCAGAGTGAGTTGCTGTTTCTTTCCCTCCTCTCCCCAGGACGCCAACCCAAGGACACTCCATTGGATGGGGGGAAGCAGCCTGGAGATTCAGGAGTTCCCCGTTTTTTTACGGATAAGGAGGGCAATTCGGGAGCACTGTTTAGGTACGACAGGACTCTGTCAACCTTAGTAACTTGGTCTCATAGTTAGGGGAACTAACAGAGACCGTGTGAGGGAGTGCCAGTGACAGAAAGAAGAGGGGAAATGAATAGTGGCTTTTTAAGCTAAGTTTGAAGGGGTCGTGGCGACTAACCCAGAAAGTATCAGGGGTCCCGAAAGGGAAGCGAATAGGTAGGCTGTCTGGCCATCCCATACCTGTATTTCATGCCAGTGCCTCGGCCGGTGCTCTCTCGAAGGGCCCCAGCGGGTGCTGGAGGTCGGGGGACCAGCGCAGCTCGTGACTTGGGTCCACCCCCCGGAGGGTTCCCATGCCCTCCGCCCACTGGCCCTCCATTACCGCCCCCAGGACCCGGCCGGGGTCCACACAGACGGTCCTCACTGCTCCGGCTGCGAAGGTTCTGCTCGGTACACGCGATAGACACCTGCATGCCGGCTGGCCGGCCAGGGCGGGGGAGGGGGCTCTGGGGGAGGGAAGAGGGAGCCGGGAAATCCGAGGGCAGACAGTGGTGTGGTAGTAGCGCGACCCTGAGAGAGCGGGAAGGTTGAGGAGGCTGCAGCCAAAGCAGCCAGCCGGGATGGGGCCGCGGGGGCGGGCTGCTGGAGGTCGCGGGGTTTGCGGCGGGAAAGGAAAACCGTGCGGAGTGCCAGGAGTGGTGGGTATTCAGATGCCGGGGGCTGTGATGCAGGGAGCAGGAGGATAAACGGGTAAGGATAAAGATAAAGTCGAGGACAGTCTTCAAGGATAGAAACCCAGGAACAAGGGGTGGCGAAAGACGGGTGCCACTTCAGCTGGAACCGCTGCGGGACCGCTGTGCTCCCAGCCGCGTCGGCAGAGAGCCCAGCTCATCAACATGCAGGCCCCGCCCCTTCATCTGCATGGAACCACCCGCCTCCCAGCCGAACACGCTGCTTCATCTGCATAAGCTCCGCCCGAGGAAGGCTTCTGAACCACCAGTGTACCTTGGTCAGAACGTCCTGTTTTAGGAACGTGCTTCTCACTTTCTGTACTTGAAATATGTTAACATTCCTCCCGGTCAGTGGTGTGCATTCGAAAGGGGCTTTTTGGTCCCTCTAAAGCCAAGGTTTGGCGACACCGATTGTGACAACTAGAGGTGAGGCAGGATGCATGTACTACACCTAGCAAGTGGTAGCAAAGGTTGCTGCTAAAATTCTAAAATGCAACGAAGAATTATTCAGCTGATAAAATGTGAGCAATAAAAGAGTGGCGGAATCTGCTGGGAAAACCTCTTCATAGGCTTCGGGGAGGTGTGGCTACCCGAGGGCTCATCTTTGTGTGAGTCACACTGGGAGGGGCTACAGAAACACACGCAGGCAGCAGAGGGTGACAGAAAGTTTATTCTGTTTCTCGTGGAGTCAAGCAGGGGATAAAACTGTCAAGGACTCCTTCGGGCTTCACTCTTATGTCTTGAAGGCAGTGGGCGGTGGGCCTTCCGGTTGAAGCTCTTAGGGGGAGACAGGGAGGCGGAAGGGCTCACAGTGCCACAAGTCAGAAGGGTCCAGACGGTCACAGGTTCTTCTGAGGGGTGAGGGAGATGTTTCAGCCAGCTCGGGCAGAGAAGAAGGGCAAAGATCGGACATAGGAGTCTAGCCGGGAGCGAAAGAGCTCACTTTGCACAGTCTGTCCCAGCGGGCACAGAGGATTCTTGACGACCAACTCCACGTACAGCTGTGGAGAGGAGGGTGCGTGAGCCAGATCTGGGCCACGTCTCACTTCCAGTCTCAACCCTATGATAACCCCAGGGATGTAAGAATACACCCGGGGGGGGGGGGGGCTAGAGAGATGGCTCGGCAGTTAAGAAGGCATACGGCTTTTGCAGAGGGTAGCCAGTGCCCAGCACTCATGGTGAGCGGCTCACAGCTATTTGTAATCCAGCTCCAGAGAATCTGTCACACTCTTCTGCCCTCCACAAATACCTGTGCTCACAGGCACACACCTCCTCTACACAATACTTATAATGAAAATTAAAAATAAATCATTACAAGCACTCAACCTCTCCCTTAGGAAAGGTATCACTGTTAAAAGGAGCTGAAGAAAACCGTTCACCAGGGATAGAACACAGAAGGGTTGGGACTCCTAGGACTCTGGGAAAAGGGTTCCTGGCTGACACTGACCGCACTGTAGATGTGGTGCAGCACATCGCGGATAGGGCCCACGCCCAAGTCAGTGTTCATGACAACCTTGATTCCAGTGGGCGTCTCGTAGTAATGGAGTTTGTATCGGCTAGTTTGGAAAGACAGAAAGCCATCCTTCCTGCAGAAATGGGCATTGAAATAGGAGTGGAATCGCTCCCAAAGAAATATTTGTGATCCCCTCAAGGTCAACTCCTTCCTATTCATTATAAACAGGTGGTTTATATCAGCCTCATTGAATAAAACATCTAACATCATCTTCATCATCCCTAGACTTAGTTGCTGCTGCCTTCACCCGCCCCACTCTCAGACTCTCCCTGCAGACACTCCTGCCAGCTTCAGGACTCTAGTTCCAGATTTAGACTCTCTCTCTCTAATATTCCCCTCCCCTCTCTGGGGCCACATGCCACTTCCATTTCAAAACAGAATCTCCCACTCCCAAGGCTAGTTAGCCCTCCCTTCAACACCCCCTCTAACAGGACCGTACATGTCTAGCGGGGACATCTTGCTGACAAACGAACGAATGGAGAAGAGCATCCCATACATCAGCTTGTACTCCTGGAGGAAGAGGGGGTAGAGTTAGAACTCGGCTATGGAAGGAGACAGGATGGGAGTGGGAAGGAACCTGGATTTGGAGAGAAGGGACTGGGATGGGATCATGTGCGTTTGGGGGTATGCCGGGACTGTCCGATCACCTCTTCCTTAGGGATCCCCGCTTGCTTCTTGCGGTGCCACTCGCTGTAGTGGAGACACACCCCATTTCGGTCAAATAGGTACAGATTGTGGACAGTCATCTGCAAGATAAAGAGCCTCGCTCAATGGCATGCACCCGACTCTGCAGCAACGGGTCCTTCAGTTAGGTGGGAACCCCACCTCCGGACTCACCGGAATTGCTGCGAGTGAGGGTGGCAAGCTACTTCCGGTTTCCACAGCCCAGCTGCGTCGCAAGCCTCACCAGCTGAGCATTAACTCCGCCCCGATAGTCTTACCAGACTCCGCCTCCTCCCGCAGCCAATCCCTGCTCACCGACGCCACGCGCATGCGCGTCCGGGCCTCTGAAGCCTGGGGAGGTGTGGGAAAGCGTGATCTCGCGGGCGGGTGACGAAACTCGTGGGAGGCGGGGCTGTAGGCGGTGGGCGGGAGGTTGCCAACGGTTTTGGGAGTCGAGGGTCGCGTTAGAAGTGGGGTTGGTCTTTGGTTTTTCTCTGTCGAGGTTATGGGGTAGGGAGACAGCTCTCTTCATCTTGGCAAACTAGGGGCCGACGTGCTCAGAGCAGTCAGAACCGGGTGGTCGCGGTAGAGGATCTCATGCGGGCTGTGCGGGGTGGGGAGCGGCGTGTTTTCTAGGACCTTTTATAGAGCTGTCTTAGGGTACGCTAGGGAAGAATTCTTGTGGACCTCTGCTGTGGCTTTCTTTCCAGGCAGGGTTGGAGGGGAAATCCAAGGGAGTCGATTCTGGGTGGAACAGGTGAAGTAGGGGTGGGAGGGTGGTGGTGTGGCAATTTGCCTCTTTCTGCACTAAAACCAACCGAGGGACAAACATTGGGCCCGATTTGGTTTTGGGTCTGTGTTTGCACATTTTGAGTATGAAAAAGAACTATCCAGTTAGCTGTTGCCGAAGCTGATCCGCCGCCTCCAGCACTCCGGTTAGGAAGGAACTTTGTCAGTGCCCTTGCCCAGCAAGTCTTTCTGTCCACTACCTCGAAAGCCTTGCACATCTGCTTTACGCTACTTCCAGGAGAAGAGATGTCCTTGCCCTCTCCATGACCCCTGGAGCCAGTGGCACTTCTCCATCCAGAAAGCCCTGATACCCTTATTTACTGAGGCTCCACCACGGGGTCTTCTTACAATCTCCCTTCTCGGTGAATTTATCCACAAGTTCAGTCAGGAGTTCCCAGTTGACTGCTGTGACCAGTTGTCTCTTCACTGCACATGGCTACAGCAGCTACCAGCCCCAGTTCACCTCTCCGGCCAGAGGACCTCCTAAGCGATTCATCAGAGCCAGGGTTGAACCAGGTGTCCTCTGAGGTCACCTCCCAGCTCTATACTTCTTTGCATCTCAGCCGACAGGCGGAGGTGACAGCCCGAGCCCAGCTGTATTTAGCTTCTGCCTCCTCGCCTCCTAATGAGGGCATAGACAGCTTGGCTCAAGAACTGAGCCGCAGCTTGTCTGTTGGATTGGAGAACAACCTGAAGAAAAAGGTGAGAGAGGTATGTTTTGGAGATCTGGGTATTAGAGCTCATTAGCGCTGGTGTTTCAAGTTAAGCGTTGCTGTGGCTTGAATCTATTATTAGATGTAAATTATTTCCTAAGTACACAGGTTTTCTTGCTCTCACCTACTAGAAGATGCATTTGAGGGAATGGTGTGAATCAACAGTTGAGAAATTGCCATGGTTTCTAGTGTTTTTACATGGTCAGACATCTGCACTGTAGAGTAGTTGGTGCCCTGGAAGTGGAGATTAGGTTTCTTGGACTCAGGTGAGAGCTGGGGCAATTTAAGGACAGCAGCAAAATAAGTAAAGGTCCTTTCAGCTCAGACATTTCAGTGTGTGGCATACGAGTCATTAAACATGTGCGTTCTAGAGAAGGCAGTTGTACCAATGGGAAAGGTACCCTGATCGGCAGATAGCTTAGGTCTTCCCATGTTGGAATCCAGTAGGGAAACTGCGCCAGGCTTTGGTCAAGGCCTTTGCTCTACACTTGACCGCAGTCCCCTCCAGCTTTGTGTGCTGGCTGGCTGCTGCCTTATTCACTGGCTCTCCTTTCCAACTTCTGTAAACATTTGGGTTTTAGATTCAAGGTTAAGATCTTTTTTGTTGTGTCTAACTGCTTTCCTCAATTTTCTAAGGACTATTTGAAAATTCTTCCCTGGAAGTGTATAGACTATAGATTACACAGGTTAAATGTGACTTCTGTGGGCTTTGCTTTTTCTCCCCTAGGATGGGTCCAAGCATATCTTTGAGATGGAAAGTGTTCGAGGTCAGCTCCAGACCATGCTCCATACCTCACGTGATACTGCCTATCGTAAGTCAGTCCCTGCCTTAGAGTTCTGGAGGAAAGCTGAGGTGTAGGGGCAGGAGACGGGAGCAAGGACGCAGACCTCTGAGGCAAGACTTGAGATGAGAAAGCACCCATTCTCTGGGAAGGGATTTGGGAAGTGGAGGCCCTCTTTTCTTCAAATGGCCCCTGTTCCTGTTCCAACTTTATCCTTACTTTGGGGTCTCTTGGACTGCAAGCAGGGGATCCCCTCATTCCAGGAACTGGCTCAGAAAGACGGGAAGAGGACTCCTTTGACAGTGACAGCACAGCTACCTTGCTCAAGTGAGTGCTCCTTGGAGGTTCCCTGGCCTTGGAGTTCTTGTGGCTCACTTGCTTTGTTCCACCCCCGTGTTCCCTGTCACCAGGGAAGCCAGAAGCTCGCCCCGAGTTCTTATCTTCTTCTGTCTGTTCCTTCTGGAACCTGAGCAGTAGCTGTCTAGTACTTAGCTCTCTATCCTTAGCCCATCTTCCCCATGAAGAATATTCTTGTTTCTGTTATTATTCTGTTATTAGCCCTCATTCTAGGAGCTGTGATACAGAGGAAGGGACATCAGGAGCAGATCACAGGCCTCTGTGCTGCTGATGGCTCTATTTAGCTTTAGCTTTATGTCTTTGGGCAAGTTCTGGTGTATAAAATACCACAGCAGGATCAGTGAGTCTCAAAGGTTTTCCCAGTTTTGACATTCTCTATCTGTTTTGCTCAGCACTCGGCCTTTGCAAGACCTCTCTCCAGCCAGCTCAGCCCAGGCACTGGAAGAGCTGTTTCCCCGCTATACCAGCCTTCGACCAGGACCCCCCACCAACCCCCCAGATTTTCAGGGGCTGAGAGATGCGCTAGACTCAGAACTTACACGCCGCAAGGTGAGAGAAGCAAAGGCTTTCTTCTTTAGAAATTAGGAGCCTTGGGTGAAAAAGTAGGCATGAGGGTTTGTAAACCTGAAGGCTGAGTCTTCGGCAAGGCCCTCAGTGACTGTCCTGTGTAGTGTGTGCCACCTTCCCTGTAGGGAATCATCAGATCCCTGACTCCCTCCATCAGCTTATCACTCATACACATCTTGTTGGTTCTTCCCTTTAAATCTGAGCTCTTCAAAGTACGTGCCCTATTCAGCACTGGCTTTCTAAGGCCTAGAATACACCTAACACAGAAAGAAATCCCCTGTTTGTTGAATGGTCAAGAACGTCACTGGCTTGCACAGAGCTCTAGAGCTATGGGTGCCTGGTGCTCTTTTCCTCCATGGCTGTTGGCCTTCATGTCTGGAGGGACAGAGAGATGAACAGGAATGAAGAAAAGGCAGAATCACTGGTTGTCAGTTTTGAAACTCTCCCCATCATTTTAAATGCTGGGCTATGAATGAAAGGCTTTCTGCTTTGTGATCAGTGAGCTCCTTAGAGCAGGAGTAACGTCCCACACTTTACAGTGTAGGTTGCTGCTGCACCTCTGCCAAACGGTTTGTGAGAAATCCAGGAAAGGGAAGAGCGTGGAAGTTAACAGCCATTTCCTGAGCTGGTAGAAGAAACTGCTTGGAGGTCTTGGTTCTTTAGGTTCCTGCTCCAAAATCCCGGATTCTTTCTTTTCAAACAGATCTGTTTTGGGGCTCCAAGCTTCCTGCCTCTGGCCCATTGCTCCTTATGGATGAGAACTGTCTGGTGCTGTGTTCAGAATGAGAATGAGCAGCATCCACAGATCTCATGTTTCTTTCCAGCATTGTGAGCGCCACATTCAGGGCCTGCAGACTCGCGTGCTAGAGTTGCAACAACAGCTAGCGGTGGCTGTGGCTGCTGACCGAAAGAAAGATATCATGATTGAACAACTAGACAAGGTGACAGGGCAGCGAGCATCGGTGGGCCTCCCCATGGAGGGCACTGTGGAGGTGTAAATGGGGGTGGTGGGATCTCATTATATAGTCTTCCTTTGAGCTTTTAGTGGCCATCCCTGCTCAGCCTCCCAAGTGCTGGGATTACAGGCATGAACTACCATACTCTGCTTACCCACTGTGTGTGCTTGCTAACAGCAGGGAGAGATGGGCAGGCTTTCTGACTTGGGAGGATGTGGCTAATGACTTATAGAAAAGAGGGCAAAAGACAATTCTGAAATTCCATTTTACTTGCCTTTCTTGAGACCCTGGCTCGAGTGGTCGAGGGCTGGAATCGGCATGAGGCTGAGCGGACAGAGGTGCTGCGGGGACTTCAGGAGGAGCGCCAGGCAGCAGAACTCACCAGAAGCAAGCAGCAGGAGGTGGGTGACTGGCTCATATGGCATTAGAGCCTAGGTCTTAGATGTCTAGATGGGGAGAAATGGCTTTGGTATTAGGGTTCCCAAAAATCTGGCCTCTGAGTGTAGTTGCCGATCCTCTCCCTCTCCCCCCTTTCCTCTACTATTACTGCATCCACTGTCAGATTTATATTAGAGGTGGCTTCCCAGATTTCCCTTCCTCACACCGTCTTCTCTTTGGTGCCATAGGTTGGTTAGTTAACACTGCAGCTTCAAGTTTACATCGCTTATTATTTCTGAAGTAGAGGCATTTTCCTCATTTTCACTGTTCTACATTTTTCTCTCCTGAAAGACAGTAGCCCGGCTGGAACAAAGCCTGTCCGAGACCATGGAAGCCCTGAATCGTGAGCAGGAGGGTACTAGACTGCAGCAGAGGGAAAGAGAGGCCCTGGTGAGAAGGCGGGCTGGCTGGTTGCAGTGGAGGAGGTGATCGTGTCTAGGGGCCTGTGGGTTGTCTGGGCGGTCCAGAGGAATGTACAGTTGAGTGGCTCTGGGGGGTGCTGCTCAGGTGCATCCTCAGAACACAGTTCTGCTGGCATCATTAGACAGACCAGTTGGAGAGACTGAAAATTTTATCTTTATTAAAACAGTAAACCCATCTGGGGACCTGGGTCTGGTGTCTCAGATCTTTAATCTTAGCACTCTAGAGATAGACAGAGGCAGGTGGATCTCCATGAGTCTGAGGCCAGCCTGG